TCTGCCTATCGCGGCAACCGTCAACAATGCGTCGAGCAAGTCGCCACCAACATGCCACCGACGCCACCAACAACCTCCAACACACCCGCCAACACTACCACGCCGCGTCGCCTCTGCAACCGAATGGATCGCACTCGTTTCGCTGCGTAATCAGCCTCTGAACCTTTGAACTCCGTCGGGATGGCCGCGAGAGAATCAAACATATCCGTCGAATAATAGCCGAAAATTAAGCTCTGCAGATCCTTCAAGTAAATTGGAGCCATCACTGTACTCGCCGGAATCCTGGCGATACGACACATTGATCTGGTCGATTAGAAAACCGATATACACTTTTTGGGGCTGATGAAAAGCGAATTCTGGGAATTGTTGCAGATTTGGGAAAGATGGATTGTGGGGTTGTTTCGAAATAACATAATTTCACACTTCAAAGTTCAAACTACTAGTGAAATAACATACTAGTGAAACAAAAAAACACAAGTTCAAATCATAATTTATAACCAAACTAATCACCATCACCATCACCATCACCATCATTGCTCGGACGAAGAAGACGCAGGCGTCGAGGTCGAGCCATTTTAACGACGGAGACTCGGTGTTCGGACTGTGGGAGGCTACAACCGTGTGAACTGTGGAGGATTGGAGGCCGAAGAAGAAGTAAGAGAGAGATGGATTCGAGTTTAACGTCGGAGACTTGGAGTACGACGGTCGGCCGGTGAGGGATGGAGGTGAAGAAGTTGCGGACGGAAGACGGGAAGAGCAGATTAGGGATTAGGATTTTTTGGGTTTTTATTAAATTTTTTTTAATTAATTTGGTTTGTATTGGGCCAAGGGAAGGGAATCTTTATGCTTCTCTGGGCCAATTTGTGTAAAAAAAATAATAAAAAATAAATAGCCCAAGTACCCAAACGTAGCCCAATTTTAAAATCTAGTTCTAGTACATTTATTTCAGTTTTGCACAGAATCGGTCAAAGCCATAGAATCGGTTCGATTTTACGATTTTGACTGATTCTACCGATTCTGTAGCGACTCTACAGTCCTTTGCGATTTTGAGCGACTTAGAATCGATTTTGTGAGTTTGAGTCGTAGAATCGGCGATTCTACGACTCAAAGTCGCGATTTTGATAACCTTGGTTACAGGGACCTTATTGCAATTTCTTGATTTCATTATATTCAATTTAGTACATGAGGCAAAGATGTAATTAACAAGGTTTTGAAAACTGAACCGTTCAGCGAACCAGTAAAGCTACCGATTCAATGGTTCACTGGTCGGACAAGTGGTCGAACCGGTCGAACCGATTAAATTAATATATAATTTATATATATTTTATATGTATAATTTATAATTGCCTACATTTTTATCATTACTTTTATAGTATATAATGAAATTTCTCTACACAAAATAATTGCATTTTTTTATCATTAGTATTATATGTATAATATAAATTTGGATATATTTGTATCATTATTAGATTAAATGTTAAACTGTTAAAATTATTATTAAGGTCCTTATTTATTTTGTGACGTGTGTATTTGTAATAATAATATAATATGCTTGGTTCTATTTTATTTTTTTTAAGGTAGGCTTTTAGATTTTAGTTTTGATAAAATTTTTAATTTTGGTAACTTTGCAATTTGCATACGTTTGTAAAAAAAAAAAAAAAATGGCCAGTGAAAAACTGAAAATGCATTGGGCTTTTGGAATTGGCCCAAACAAAAGAGGAAAAATAGGAAAAGCAGAAAAAGCTATGTCCCAAGTCGGGAAAACATATAACAAATGAAGTGCATTTAATAAAAAAGACAATATGCACCCTAGTATTCAAACCCGCTGGGCCGCTGGAACCGGCTCTGGTTCTCCGATTTACTAGTTTTTGGATAGTTCAAGTGGTTTTTGAACGATTTTTATATGCAACAGTTTAGCACATCATACCGGACCGCTCTTGTAATCTCCGAACCAGTTTCTATATATTAGCTCGACTTTATTTTCCAGAAATAGCAAATTCATAATTATATCGTCTTTATTAATTTCATAATTTTTTAATACCTAAGTCTAAGCCATGAAGTAATCTATCGAATTTTGTTTCGGAAAGGAAATAGAATTTTAAGTCTAAGTCTCGATTTATAATCGAGTATTAGAAAAGTCGAGAATTTAATAAATTTTCGAGCCGATCCGAAGCTCGGCCCGAATGGTCGAGTCCTCAAAGCGAATCCGGCCCAAGGCCGAGTATAAGATCCCGGCCGATATCTTCGAACCCAAGTTCATAATATTTTTTGGTCCAATATTTAGCCCAAGATCGAATATTAAAATCGAGCCCAAGTTTATTTTCCTTCATATAGTAAAGTCTAATATTTTAGCCAATATATTTTTAAGCCCAAGTATATTCTAGTCTAATTTATTTAAGTCCAATCAAAATGGTCCAAGTCCCATTGTTATCAACCCAAGCCCAAGTCCATTAATTTGACCAAGTCAAACCATTTTGGTAGCACATAACCAAGTCCATTTTGATTTCTAGCATGTAAACTATAGTCTTGATATATGTAGTATGTACATATATTTCCTATGTCTTGAAAATTTAATTCAAGATGCAATTTGAATTTGGTCAAGCCTCACCTACCAACCTTACTTTAGGGGACAAGACAAATTAAAATGTGCTTCTAATCCCCTAACCTAATGTCTCCATGTTCTATACATAATACCCTCTCATTCCATTCCATCTTCTCTATTTCATTCTTCTTCCATTTTAAAGACTCCATAAAAATTTCAAGCTCAAAATATCCATAGCTTTAAAAAAAAAAAATTTGCCACCTTTTCCGGCCAGCCGGCGCGGCAAGGCACCACCGGCGAGCCCAACCCTAAGTCACGCAGTTTGCTCCCAGCTCCATTCCTAGCCCTCACAGCTCCCAGCTTCACTCCCAGACCAGTTTTCAGCCCGCACGCGCGCAACCTAGGTTCCCCGCGCCAGACGCCTGTCCCAGCGCCCTGCTCCCGCGCTAGCGCTAGCCCAACATCCGCAGCACCAGATCCCGCGCGACCGTGCCCAGACATCGCCAGATCTGTGCCTCCTGCAGCCTCAGCGACCAGATCCCGCTTGTCCCAGCCAAATCCGAGCCCCAGCGCTATATATTCGCCCTTGCCAAGGCCCTACTAGCACTAGCCATCTTCTACTTTCTTTTTCAAGCCCCTAAAGGTAAATATATGCAAAACCCTTCTTCATATGGCTTATACAAGTATATCAAAGTACTTTAAAAATGCTAACTCATGAAAATTGAAGTGAGAATGAGAGATAAAAAAAATAGGGCTTTATTGCTTGATTTTTATATCCTTATGTGCTTAAGTGCTTAATTCGTGACTTTAATTTTATAAATCATGTTATATTGAGTATGTGCTGAGGTTTAAATTTCATGATTTTTGAATTTCAATTGTTGTGTTAAATAAATTGTTAGATCTAGTGTTTAAATAGCTAAATTATGTTCGCCATGTTATAGATCTGTGTTTAATGTGATATTTTGTGGAAAAATTCGAAATATTATGGGCATACTGAGGTAAAAATTTGGGAATTTTTGAGACATGTTTGCTATGTGAACAAATATTATGAATCTATGCTTATTTTAGATAAGTATGTTAAAGACTTGATTTTGCTGTGATCGTTTTCCCAAAAATGCTATATAATACCATGATGCTAAGGTTTAAATCTCGTGATTTTTGGAGCATATAGATATGTGAACAAAATTGTGTATATCTAAGTCTATTTGAGCATATTTGAGCAATATGAGTTATACATGTTATTTTGCTGAGATATTTTGAGCAACAAGTATGCAGAATATGTGGAAGTTGCTGTATAAATTTGATGATATTGGAGATCATTTGAGATGCCTTAAAAATCGAGACATATGTCTTGTTTTGATGAATTTTTAGAAAAAAAAAACTTAGAGTTGAGATTTAGATGAAGTTGATGCATGATAAATTACCATATATTATGTGGATTATATGGTTATAATTTCATGATTTTTGGAGACTGTTTGTCGTGCTTTAAAATTCGAGACTTTAGCCTCATTTAG